CTGGTCCCCCTTTTTTTTCCCAAATGATTTTGAGTTTTGTTCCACATTGTTCTCCCTCTCTATCTAGGATCTCCTACATAGATCCCTCTGAGTGGTTGACAGTGGGTTGACAGTGGTAGCCAGGCACCATCTGATTCTTCTGGTCTCATAGTCGTATAGGCTATGGATCACATGGTGTACCAGTCACTAAGACTAATTGTTTCCATGAATCTTTGGTATTCTTCATTCTTCTTTGCTCTGGACAAGGAGAGACCCATCATTGCATTAGATGGTTGTTTGTAAGCTTTTAAGATCCCAGTTGCTACTCGCCAAAGTAGGAGGTGGAACAATGTTTTGTGTAGTATGTTATGCTCACTGAGCTTGATGTCCCCTTTTTTGGTCCCGAGCCTACAGGTTCAACTACTCAATCCCTCTTGGTAGCTGGCTGTGACCAAGAAGTGACTACAACCTTGTCCCTTGTCAGCCTCCTAAGGTTCTTATCTAATCTTTTGAGTTGCTATTTTAATTTGATCTCATATAGATAACTCTTAGGAGCTCCGGTAGTATAGTGCCTAAGGCACTTGACTGCTAACCAGAAGGCTGGCAGTTCAAACCCACCAGCCATTGCTCAGAAGAAAAGTTGGGCAATCTACTTCCATAGTGATACCGCCTCGGAAACCCAAGGAGGGGGTCGCTATGAGTCAGGTCCAACTCGATGGCATATAACAACAACAACAACAATAGTTAGCTCTTAAAACAGCATAATGCTTAAGGAAGTTTTTTTTGTTTGTTTGTTTTTTTGTATTTATTAAGCTAAACTACTGTTTGGTTTTAAGAAGAATTCAGGGGATATTTTTGGTTTGAGATTTAAAGATTATCTCAAGCAATCATTTCAGGGATTCATCCATGTTCCATGACCCCAGAAAATCTGGAGTCCATGAGAATTTGAAATTTTATTCTACATTTTCCCTATTTTGATAAAGATTCTTCTATAGAATCCTTGATCAAAATGTTCAATAGTGGTAGCTGGGAACCATGCAGTTCTTCTGGTCTCATGGCAAAGGAGGCAGTTGTTCAGGGGGGGCAATTAGCTACACATTCGATATATTCGTCCTATTTCTGTCTCCCTTTCTTCCTCTGTTGTTGTAGGTGAATAGAGAATAGTTATTGTATCTTGGATGGCTGCTTGCAAGTTTTTAAGACCCCAGGCACTATGCAATGAACTTGGAGGTAGAATAGAGGCACGAAACACATCATTAGGCCAGTTAACTGGGTTGTTCTATGAAACCGTGACCCTATAACTCCAAACCAAGGAAGCAAATCACATGAGGTTTTTGGCTGTATGTAAGCCCAAGACAATAATGAATTGATCCAGCTCTTTCGTGAGGTAGGTCAAATTCATTGTCATCAACTGGGAGAGATTAGAACCAATGACTTATGTCCTGTGCCCCTCCCCATAAATCCTTTCACTTATGAAGGGCTTGAAGTTTTCCATCACATCATCTTACAGTTTTTTCTCATGAGAATTCCCCACCCTCAAAGCCTTGTCCTTTCTCTCCTAGCCATCATTCCAGGCCCAGCAAAGCATCACCTTCCCAATGACTGAGCTCTTAGCTGTCTCCCCTCCAGGAACTCAGCCCCCACTTCCTGCTGTAGCCCAGGAATGTCTGTACTTCCTAGGCCTACCCTGCTGCGGCCCTCTGAGCCAGCCTCAGTCCATTAGTGGGGGGTCCCAAGCCCCTGAGTGGCACAATTGGT